GGAGTCGCGGAGAACCTAACGGGTAACCGGGGCTCCGGCTCGACGTGCAGGAGAAGAAACAGGGTGGTTTTTAGTCAGTAAGAGTCTGACACTCCCTCTCGCCTCACCCAGGCGGGAGCAGGCATTCGATGATTTACCCCCCTTGAAAAAAAAAATACCTAAGTCCCGTGCGATAATCGAACATATAAGCTACGATAACACAGCAATCGGTGTCACCTCACCTACTCATTGCCGGGGCAGTGGGTCGTAGTCACGGTAGTTAGTACTTAACTCGTCGAGTACCGTCATAGACACAATTATAGAACAAAAGGTTGCGGTCACCGGTGACCGCTTGGTGTTTGACAGTTTAATATACCGCGTCGTAGTGGTGGTGTCCGTTGGGACCGGCGACCGTACAATAAATATACACCTATATCTTAGGCCGAAATTTCTCGCTTTTTTTTATTTATTATTACATTTTAGTACAGTTTTAAACTATTTTTTTGCACTATTTAACCACAGCTGGTTTGTATTATATATTAGTGCTTCGCGTACTACCCGACAATCACCATACAACGTTTATTCGTAGATTCATGCAATAAGTACCTGTGCAAAGTGAGTTTATTAAAACTTTAAGCCATCCGTGTTCTGTAGCAGGTGTGAGCGTGTTTGGCCCATGGAAAGCAAGCAAAACTTGTGCCTTCTCTGTGGTCAATCCATTTACAGGATCAGTTTGTAATTGCTCGTACAGTTCTTCTGGAAATCACAGTGGAACTATGATACCAAAGCTCCTACCTATATCTGCGCTCACACAATTAGTGGGTATCTGTGTGGGAATTCAACCCGCACAACGTTTCGTATTTTACCGCAGCACTGATTAAACACTCGAGCAGAATGTTATCGAGAAATTAGCAGGCTGAAGTAGCAATGTTCTGATCACAAAGGTACATTCGACGCAGAATCTAAGATTGCTCTGATAATGTGTTTTGGAGCGGAAATCGGGCACATTGGCATAATGCTGTTGGAGTGGAGGTATAACAGGAGCTGTTCAATACTGACAAAAGTATTCTGATTTTGGGATGATTGGGAGAATGTACCTATTACCTATATATATATAGATAGGTATAATATTACTTATTTTCTTTGTCATGACCAACTTTATTTACTACTTATGACGAGCACTTCAGTTAGAGGATGAACGTACGTAACGGTATCAAATGCAAATCAGTACTAATTTCTTTCTTCAAAAGGTTTAGGCGAGTGTTGCTCAAGTCTCTTGACCGTAGACCTTTCGGTGTGATTGGCCTGAAGAATTCAGATAGCGACGCAGTACTGCTCGACGTTACTGACGACATGTTTTATGTTTTAGCACTTTCACTTCTGTGAACCGAAAATCTACATTTATACTAGGGCATGACTACCTAGATAAATTTATTTTTGTATGCAATCTAGTTGGTTAGTGAAACTAGTTATCTAAAAGGATCCAATCAGTTACACCTACGTAATTGTAAGTGGCTACATTTGTAGACAAAGATTTGTTATGTAATTTGTCTTACTATTTTTTGTTTATAAGAATTCCCATAGGGGTAATCGTACCTTAGTGTTGAATGCAATTTATTTTAGTAAAATAACAAAAACGAAAATATCTTTTTAAAAAAACATTTATTTCAGTTTTACTTAAGAATATACAAAAAATACTTTCATGGCAACAGAAATGAACCAACAAGTGTACCAATAACTAACATAATCAAGCCCAAAAGATAAGATAATAATACTTGAACAAATTATAATAAATGGTGTAGGTAAGTATAAACTATAATCATTTAATGAATAAAATACAAAAGTATTAATATTTCCATAGTTTTTTGTCTATATAGACAGTTAATAAATGCATTTTTAAGGTATGCTGGAATGTTGATATACATAGACACAATATATTTTCTATTATGTCTTACATACTGACATTCAAGTGGTTAATGTAAATTATATTATTATGACATGATACATAACATCATACAAATTGCACAAAAAGACATAAGTAGGTAGTTTAAAGTTCTCACAATTCTTTACTACTAAGAATCCTATAGACATAAAATATTCTCATGTCCCTGTGCTTAATTTGTTACTGTAAGAATACTCATAGTTTACTTTTGTATCCTTTAGCCCAAATAATATTGAGTTCTTCCATTTCCTTTTCATTGGCTTGTAACAGCTCTTCCCTGACTGTATCCCTCAACAGCTTCTTAGTGGCTGTGACACTGTACTTTGGGAGCTTTGACACTTCAGCTATTTTATCCCAAACCTTGCTTTGAAGCTCCTCTGGCTTATAAATATAGTTTATAAACCCATACTCTAATGCTTCTTTTGCAGGCATCTTGTAGTTACAGAGTAACATTTCCATTGCCTGGAATTGTATACAGAAAAATTAGTATAAGATCACATGTGGTTTTATTAGATTTTATTTGGAATAATTTTAATTACCTTTTTATCTCCTAGAATTCTAGGAAAAGTGAATGTTGAACATCCTTCAGCCACAATTCCCAACTTAGTGAAAGGAGTGTAGAAATATGACTGTAACATGATCACATAAATATTTGACATACAAATTTATTTATCATTAAAAGAAGTGTAAATTGCTCAGTGAGTATCCTTAGTAGCTAAATTAATTTGTACTTACATTTTCAGAGGCAAATACCAAGTCACAAAGTGCTAATGTTGTAGCTGCAATACCAATGGCTGGCCCATTTACAACAGCAACCAGTATTTTTGGGAACATTATAAATGCTTTAATATAGTCTTTAAGAACATTTAAGTGTTTGCCCGTGTCATCATTAGGGTCCGTTGGAGCTGAGAAGTCATTTCCACTGCTATAAAAGTCTCCTGTTCCAGTGAGAACCATTACAGAAATAGAGTCATCTGTGGCAGCATCATTCAGTATGCTAATTACTCGGCGATACATCACTCCATCAATGGCATTCTTCTTCTTGGGCTTGTTATATTGAACAATTTTTATACCACCTTGACTAGTCTCAATAATCGTCTCTTTGATGCTCATCTTGCACTGTCTCGTTTCTTAATGTGAGTCTAAAGTCCAAAGTACAGATATCAGTTTTTATGATTAGTTAATGCGCGTCCAAAGTTCAAATAACAGTTTTTATGATTATTATCAGGTTCTTACCAAGGTTAAATGAAAAATTTTAAATAAATTTGCAAGTCTTGCTGATTGTAGACCTTATTAAATTCAAATACTCGAAATATTATTTGGTTTAATTAAGAAACTTGTACTTATGTTAAAAAACACAACAATTACCAAGACTAGAATATGTAAACAATTGAGTTTGCTAAGTTTAGCGTTACTGACATAATGTTGACTGATAGTGATAACCACTGTCAAGTGTCAAGTCAATATTGACATTTATCTGATTACAAGAACCATAAAGCATTAAACATTTTAATCGGCTGATAGTTGATGATGATAATTATAAATTTGTTTATTAAAATTAAAAGAGAAAATCACGCGCCATAAAATAGAAATAATATGCGTGAAATATCAATTACAAAAGAAACCCTAAGTTAAAATCGCGTTACACGAAAAATAGTCTCATGTCATATATGATCACCACTGCAAGGTTTTGACGTAAATCAAAATCAAACAAACGTCAATGTAATGATGAAATATGATAACGCAGGCTGACATTTTTGACCTAGCCTAGCCCTCTGTGAGCAAAAAGTTGGAATGATTAGATTCCTAAGCCAAATTCAAAGAATTAACAACTTTTGTTACAGTAACGTTATAGTGAGTAATCGAGTTGTAGGTTTTAGCACAAGTGGCACTATGTTTAAGTCAGCAGTATTCAATCTTCAAGAAGCTTCTAAAGATCAAGTTCAAGAGTTTCTAAACTCATTTGATACAGTTTTAACAGATTGTGATGGTAAGATAGTTTTTGTTATGTGAAGATTGTCTGACTCGTTAAGTGTGTATTTCATATTTGGTCTTACAAACAAGGAAAAAGGGAAAATAACTATTGTGTGATAGCAACAATTATAAATATTAGAATTTATTCTACAATAACATACATAACATACATGTTTTCTACAATAACATCACGCTTTTTATCCCCGAAGAGGTAGGCAGAGGTGCATATTACGGCACTTAATGCCACTGTACTATGTAACACCCACTTTTCACTATATTTTATGTTATAATTTCCATGTAACGGGGTACACCTGTTGCCATATATACCAGGCATTATTACAGACTCTGTGCTATTACTGAAATTTTTTATAATACCCAGTATGTATACTGTACTACAATACTTTGCTTGAAAACGGAATCGAACCCAAGATGCCTTGCTCGGCAGTCTCACAGCGCTCACTTGGCCAACGATACAGAGTTTATTCTACAAGTCTGTGTAATAACTTCTTAATACTTATCTGCTATAATAATTTTTTAGGGGTTTTATGGATTGATAACAATGCCATCTCAGGATCAGCAGATGCAATGAATTACTTCCGGAAATTGGGAAAAAAAATATTTTATGTGACAAACAATTCAACAAAAATTCGCAGTGAGTTTGCAAGTAAAGCAACTCAACTAGGCTTCATTGCAAGTCAGGTAAAGTGTTCATAAATTTTTATCTTAGACTCGCTGATCTTGTGGAGTTTCACTCGGTAACAACAAAATAACAACTACTTATCGACCCTGGAGACTATTGCAAACCCCTCTTTTATGGTAATCTCATATTTAATAAATTTTTTGTACACTATAGCGACAAATGGAACTCTGAAATATATCATTATAAAATTAGATGTTCTGATTTTATAATTGTAAAATATACTATTTATTCCAATATAAGACTATTGTTTATTTTTTTTATTAACTAGCTTCTGCCCGCGACTTCGTACGCGCAATCCCGTTTTCTCCGTTCCCATAACATTTTCAGGATTTTTTTTCTGTCATAAGAACCTTCTGCTGACAATAACAAACACAAAAAAAAACAAATCATCCAAACCAGTCCAGCCATTTTCAAGTTATGGCGTGACAACACGTGGGTTTCATTTTTATTATTTTATATATACATATAATACTAGCTGACCCGGCAAACTTCGTACCGCCTAAAAGTTTTTTGTCACCTTTTAAACCTTCCCTAGACTTCCACGAACCTATCAAGACCAAAATTAGCCAAATCAGTTCTGCCGTTCTCGAGTTTTAGCGATACTAACGAACAGAAATTCATTTTTATTTATATAGATATATAATTGTAACTGCCCAGTCTCCAAGAGGTCACTGGGATTAAGAAGATAAAATAAGATTTTCAAAGATATTATCTTACAATTTATTTTATTTCAGGAAGAGATATTGTCAACTGCTTACTTAGTAGCTCATTACCTAAAAGGTATAGGATTTACCAAAAAGGTATATTTACTGGGATCAAATGGCATTGGAGAGGAACTGAAAGCTGTGGGTGTTAGACATATTGGTGTAGGCGTAAGTAGTAAGATTGATTGATTGTAAAATAAAAAATAGTTTGGTTTATTACTGACAGAATAAAGACACAGATAAAAAATATATATCTTTACAGCCTGATCATGTGAAACCAGATTTCAAATCAATGCAGCCTTCGGAACTGGATCCTGAAGTTGGTGCTGTGGTTGTGGGTTTTGATGAACATGTCAGTTACCCAAAATTCATGAAGGCTGCCTCTTACCTCGCATCCGAACAATGTTTGTTCATAGCAACCAATACTGATGAGAGGTTTCCTAAAGCTGGCTCTATTGTTGTGCCTGGTACTGGCACTTTGGTAAGGGCAGTTGAGACATGTTCAGAAAGAAAAGCCCTTGTTCTTGGGAAGCCTCATAATTATGTGCGGAAGTATCTTGAATCATGCGGCTTAAATCCAGCCAGGACTTTGATGATTGGAGACAGGTAAACCATACACTGTCTTGTTTTCACATTTTATGTTAAAACCTACTTATAATTTTTTATGTTATGAAGAAAATAAGTCCTTTAACAATTTTTTTTATTTTATTACATAGACAGCTTTGTTTTATGTGTATAATTAATGATTATGCCTTAGGAGTACAAATTTAATACTGTTAATTCAAGAATTGCACATGTACTACTACAATACCTATCAGTATGTCAACAGGAGTAGTCATAATGTGTGTAATATGTTATGACAGAAACTTCACACCATTATGTGTAAAAATAACATTTTCACAATATATATTCGCATTTACAGATGCAACACTGACATAGAACTGGGTGTTCGCTGCGGCTTCCAAACACTGCTGGTGCTTTCAGGTGTCACTTCACCGAAAGATCTGGAGAAACTGCGCAACGAAAAAACTCCGCCATTACCAGACGTTGTTTTACCGAAATTGGGAGATTTACTGTCTCTTGTATCATAGGAAAATAATTAAACAAATAGTAGCTGATTATAGTAGAATGTTCAAATCATAGGTCAATTCTAAAGCAAGGGTAGTATTCATAAGCAGTGTAATCACTCCATGTATTATTAAGTTACAAATCATTATACAAAATAGAAAATGCATTAAATAAGTACAACTATCAACTAGCGCAATGTGATGTTAAATATTTATTTTTTATTTATTTTAACATAATGTTACTTTGATATGGGTGTTCTTACTGTGTTTTATCTGACTGTGATTTTTTATAATAGACCTAGGTACATTTTAAGCCAAGTAATATTATTAGGCCCACCTACCCTAACTTATGTTTGTTTCTCCATATGACATAAATAATATAATATAACGAATCACTGTTGAATGTAGCCTTTTAGCCCCTTAGATCTTATTACCAGAAATGACAAAGGAAGTTGTAATGTATCTTTTATTTTATACTTTTTACATTGTTTTAGTATTGTGACTAAAATAACTGAATTTTCATTTTATATAGTACTATAGAATAGTCTTCCAGTTCAATGAAGTTTTGTATCCATATAATTATGGTATCGACATACGATATGGGATTTCGACTTCAGGCTAAATTACTTTATGACACGCAATTTTAGTTATATACTATTGGGATATCACGCATCTGTGATTGATTAGCTTGATTAATTCAAATATTTGACTATGTATAATTGCTTACAGCATTGTATTCAATGTGAGACAGGATCAGTAGATCACACTGCACTGTTACTGTTTTATTTGTATAAGTAATACTAGAACTATAATTTTATTATAGCAACTTAATTCGGTAAAAGAAAGTCAAATTAGTATTTGTTATCTTCTATTGTGTAACTAAAATGACACAACTACGAGTTTTGAGTTAATAACACTAATTCACCTTAAAATCACTGCAATATTTTCGTTATTTTGTGACCTGCAATTTACATACCTAATTTGAATCCTATTCGTGTGTTATCGCTAATTTGTATTTAGTAATGTCCTCTCCCCAACCCAAATAATGTGAAGCATTAAGATACCTATTGAATAAGTGTTAAGGTCATTACGTAACAATAAATACTATAAGGGGACTACATATAATAACGTTATTTTACTAATAAGTACTTGTTACTATATTTTAAAACTGCTTTGTTGGCTCGTCACTGTATGTGTTCATTTGTATACACAAAATAAAATAATATTTTATTACAGTTATGGAATATATAATGTTGCTTTTAATAAAATATTTACATCGTTAAAGATCCTTTTATTTAGCTGTCTGTCTCCTGGTCGTAAACTAAACTAAAATACCTACCCACCAATTGTCATCCAAATCGACTTAGCCGGTTTTGAGTTATAAATAGTGTAACTAACACAACTTTCTTTTTTATACCTATAGAGGTATATAAATAAATAAATCATTAGAATACAAATAGAATACTATTCATGGGGGGAAAATTAATTAGTTACCTGCCTGTGTAGATTTTATTATTAGATTATTATAGGTAGGTAAAATACACAGATATTGTTTCGTTTGTTATTCCGTAATTATCAAATAGAAATATAATTAATAATAAATTAAATATAGTTAATGCTAAATCTTCTTAAAGTTGGCAACGCACTTGTAACTCTGGTGGTGCTGTAGGTGTCCGAATCCATGCATGGATGTTGGGTGGCACCGATTGCTTACCCTGTCTGATCCAAACCCAGACCGGACCAAAGTGATGCGTCTGCTTTTTTGCGTTCGTTAACTACCTGCATATACTGTAGATACCTTTATGACTATCATACTATCATCATATCATTAGATTTTGGAACCTAGAATTCATTTGCTTAATGGGACGTATTTTGTCCAAAATGAGGAGTTGGCTAGGCGGCATACTCCGAAGTCTTGGCACATTTTGCGGCGCATGCGTAGTATTGTATCGCAATTCGCCGCGCATCTCTGGGCTTGTCAACATTAGGTCCCCTCTATTTCGCGCCAGTATCGGTGCAGCCGCGATAGATACGCGCCGCTACGAATAGCGCTCGCTCCGCACTCGCTAGTTAATGTGATCTCATTTATTTAACTCATATCCCGAAACATTGATGTGAGTCTACTATATTTATTTTTATACCTATTAGATCTTAGGATACTAAATTCTTTCAAAATATTCATAGTGCTTATGTGCGAACAATCCGCCTGCAAAGATTTCCTCTTCGAAATCACGCATATCCAAAAAAGCCCTGTTAATTTTATGTTCCCTTTATATTGATGCCTATGTACCTACTATAATGTATTGAGCTACATAATAGTTTAGCATTTATTAAGACATGCCCATGAATATGTATGTATACCTTTTTATTAGCTATTGTGTGGGTTAAAGTTCTTATAGCTTTAGTAGAACGAGAGTCCATCTCGTCCCATTTGTTTTAGGAAAACAAAGAAAGCGTTACGTTAGGGGTGACATTTCGGAATATGTTGAGGGGTTGTCTCTTGTTCTTAGTCTTCCCTTTCTTCGTCTAGCTAGCTACTGATTTAGAAACTTTAATTGAGTTTGTTCAGCGACGTAGGTGTTTGATTCAACGATCTTGCACAATTTTCTCCATAGGCTTCTATATTTAGATTGATCGCGGAAATGTGTTCGTCTATCCATCAATCAGAACTAAAATATTTCCATTGCTCTTGCATCACGTTTATATATATTTGACTGTATTTAATACAACTCTGATAACTGTACCTAATAAGTGATTAGACACTGAAGTTTCCTGACGATAAACACTTTATCTGAAGTATCGACGCACTCAAAATAATTCATCGCCGTGCAATTATGGTGATAAGAGACAACAGTTACGGTAGTTGGTACAACCTTCGACAAATTAAATAACGTTACTAGTTTGGTTATCACTAAATAAGTTATATAGGTACCTTAGTGCTTACGTAGTTCCGTAAACAACACTGTCACTATAGATTATCGTACCCAGGTACCTACTATCAATGGGGATTAAGTTACGTTAACTAAATGTGTACCTATGTACCTAATAATGAGTTAACATAACGTTAGTTCTGAACTACGGAACTAGTCCCTAGGTACCTACCAGGTAGGTACTCACCTGCTAGTTTGCCGTTGCACTTTTTAGGCACCTAAGCAGGTACTTACCTAGTGGCTAATGATTGCATTAATTTGCGATTTGATTAGAGTAGGTAATAAATAGTCATGTTTATATCAGTGATAAGATAATATCTAAATTTATATTGTAGAAAGATAAATAGGTAGCTACTTATACCTAATAATAAATACTTTTAGCAATAAATATGCAATAGAAAATAGTATGAGTTTCGTACTCCTAAATCTTTCTATGTTAAACGATTTCTAAATGCAAATATCACGGCCCGAAGTGTACACTCTCCAAGTCTCCATAGAAAGAGACTGTAGATATATTGCCGACTTTACAACGAAGCCAAGCCGTTGTTAAAAGCCTGTTTCAAGTTTTATGTTAAGAGATGATATCATCTATCAATACAAAGTTGTGGTAGGAAATGCGCATTGATATTTACATAGATGCTAGTTATATACCATGTCTTTTTGTGGATATACGATTTTATTTTTTTAAATAGATATTAAGGAAATTAGGTAGGTACCCATTTATTCTTCTTTGTGTATATCTAGGTACCTACCTAATGCATAAATCTGGGTAAGTATTACCCGATTTAATCAGCTGGTCAAAGTTAAGAGTAGGTACATACCTACCTACTTACTTAGGTCAATGTGATATTTAGGTATTTGGACTACTTACTACACATTACTTTTACCTTTATTATCTCCAGAAGCTGTTGGTATAGGTACCTATTTAAATAAATAAATTCCTTCTAAGGCCTCTATTTCCTTTACCACTGAGTGAGACACCTTTGTTGTACGACCAACTGGGGTGGCTTATTGTGTTTATAGTATAGAACTATAGAGGGACACCAAAAGAAGTACTTGGGTTGATGTGACCATTCCCAATCAGTTGGTTGACTTAACTGCAAGTGAAATATAAAGCAACCTCCATCCAACCGCATGCGTATTACTTGGTTGTATCATCTAATCTAGGCTACCATGGTGTCCTAATGAAATATGGCTCTAAATTAAACTAAATATGTTTCCAAACCTACACTTCAGTTTTGAATCATAACATCATGCCTTTTTATCCCGAAGGGGTAGGCAGAGGTGCACATTTCGGCACTTAATGCCACTGTACAATGTAACACCCACTTTTCACTATTTATGTTATAAGTCCCATGTAATAGGGGGTGAGCCTATTGCCATATACCG